AGTTGACTTGAAGGCAGCTAACAACAACAACATTTAGAACCATTTGCACCATTTATTCTAACTACTTGCATAGTTTCATTCTTTCTTCATTGTAATGATTTTTAAAGCTTTTATTCAGTTTAATCTACACTGTAAATCACCTTGAGGTCTGCGCTGGGAGCCAGCTAGGATACAGACAGACAGACAGATAAATACAGAACAAGAACAAGAACAGGTCAGTAAATGTATATTGTTTCATTCTGCATGCAATTCATTTAGGGAGGATGGGTGGCTAAATCTGGTCTGAAGTTTAGTCTGAACATTTAAAAATCTACCCTCAAAATTAGTTCATCATAATGAATAGCTCTTTTAAAATTTAGAGAAAACAGCTGGAGTAGATTCACCACCCCACTGATGTTCTACGACCCATTTTCTGTGGTGCCTTCCATGTCAGTGGGGCAATAAATCTTCTGAGGGTTTATTTCATACATTAAATATATTATCCAAGGTGCCTAAAAAAGTTTAGCACCTTGGATAGCTCCACCAAGGAATCCCCCTATCAGTTGTTCAGTTGAGTCAGTTGGTCTGATCTAGTTTAGTCAGATCTACTTGGGTAATTCTACTTAGAGGGAGTAGGAGAAAAAGGAGTTAAAAGCCTATCAAGAATTTGATTTTCATGTAACCATACTGAACTTGACGTTAACTGTCACAAGATACTTTATTTCTGTATGTTTTTCAATAAAAGTTACTGTTTATTTTACAATGTTTTACTGTTTGTTTCTGATTGAAGTGATTAAAGAAGAACATACATGCTACCTAAAATATTAAGACTGGTTTGTGGAAATCTTTGGGACTCTAACCCTTGTACACTTGAGGACAGTGTTGCAGAGCAAGTGTTAGTGTCAGGGGCCTTCTGAGGTTGGAAGGTAAAAGCAACCTAGTTCTTTAAGAAGGTCCTGTCACAAACCTCTGAATACCATCTCCCCCTCCCACCAAATTATCCTCGGGTATCTAATTCCATGTGTTAATTCACATCTCTGTTAATTTCAAGAAAATGAGAGTTTTGTTGAAATTAGAATAATTGCTAATATGCAAATGCTTATTCATATGTTTTGGTTTCCCAATCTGGACTATCCTGAGCTATTTAACAACAACAACAGCAGTGAGTCCTTGGTATCTGCTGGGATTTGGCTCTAGGACATCCTGTGGGTTCCAAAACTGGTGGATGCTCAAGTCCCATTAAATAAATGGCAAAGTAAAATAGTGTCCCTTATATAAAATAGCAAATCAAGGCTTGCTTTTTGGAATTTACATTCGGATCTGTTCCGGATAACAAACAACATGGAACCTCAAGTCCCATTATACCTAATGTTGGCACAATGTGCATGTGTCCACTAGAATGGCTGCATACACACGCCACCAATGGGGACAACAGGACTTGCCATCCCCAGATGCTTAAATCCACGGATGGCAAGCCTGCGGATAATAAGGCTCCACTATATATATTTTTGGAATATTTTCAAGCCATGGATAGTTGAATTCATGGATATGGAGGGCTGACTGTAATAATAAATTTTCTTATCTACCTCTCCCTATGGACTGAGGTGCAAAACAGCAGCAGATTAAAATACCACACATATCAGTTAAAACATTAATCAGTTAAAACACATAAACCAGTCAAAACATAACATCAGTTTAAAATAACATATATTGCACATGATCAATTGACAATGTTGATTCATAATTTAAAAGTCATCAGGATAGCCCTGCTGGAAGAGACTGGTCTTTAATGTTTTAAATTCAGACAGCTGTTGAGTCAAATCTATCAGGTCATTCCACAGTTAAGAGGTGGCTGAACAAAATGTTCTGTGGGTGACCATTGCCAACCTAGTCCTGGATGATGGGAGTAAATGTTTCACAGAGGATCTGAGTTTGCAGGGGTGGATTATATCGGAAGAGGTGATCCCATGGATAACGTGGATCCAAAAGGGTAATAGCTTACAGATGGACCCTATTTTAAAGTCAAACTCATGGCTTTGGACAAAGCACAATATTACACTGGCAGGTATTCATCACTCTGGTGACTCCTTTGGGGTGGTGGGAGCTATGGGAATAGCCTTTGCTTTAGTAGTAATATACTAATGCCAGTTTAGGATTGTGGCAAGGAATTGAACATAGTTGTAACTTTATGCTCACTTGAAGAATCACTCCTGCCCCAGATGATGGCATATTTTATGCCTGAAAAAGGGGTATCATAAGTGCTTCTCTTCAAAATTAGGGAAGATAGGTAGAGAAACTGCAAGGAAACCAGAGGCCAATTCTACCCAGACTCCTCTGCAGGCCACACACCCCACAGCAAGCCTGAATACCTCCATTTTCCCTCTGTAGTTCCTCTCAAAATGACACCAGGAATTAATGTTGCATCACTTCAGAGGAAAGTTGAGGTATTGAGGGTAGTATGGGGTTCTGGGCCCTTGTGGAAGCAGGATGATGTATTCTAATTTGTGGATTTCCTGTGTTTGCAGATAAAAAATCTCTGAATTTATTATTATTATTTAATTTGAGGGTTGGGGGCAGTAGGGGCAGCTGGGGCCTCAGAGGCCACAAAGGTGGAACCCAGAGGTTGCATGTGGTCTCTGGGCTATATTTTGCCCTCCCCTATATAAAATCATTAAATATATATTAAGTTTAAAAAAAAAAACACATGAAAAGCATACAAAAGCAAACACCCCAATAAGAAGCCTCCCTGGGTGCATATTTGCCATATTAAAAGCCTGCTTGAAGAGAAAAATTTTGCTGGCTGGCAAAAGGAAGGGGACCAGACTAACCTCCTGCAGAAGGGAATTCCAGAAGGTGGGAGCAGCCACTGAGAAGGCCCTCTTTCTCATGGCCTTACAAAGCAAGACTGTGATGGTGGTGGGACCAACAGAAAGCCTTCGCCCAAAGATCTCAAGAGTTCTGTCAGGTTCTTATGGTTAATTAAAGTCTTTCAGATAATCTCGACCCAACCATATAGGGCTATATAGACCACAACCAGTACTTTGTTTGAGCTGTGCCTGGAAATGAACCAGTAACCAGTGAAGTTATTTTAACAAAGGTGTTAAATGTTTAGTATAACTCATCCAGGTAAGATATCTATGAAGGCTGACCATGTATCCTACTTAACAATAGATAGCCCTCAAGATGAAAGTGTGCCAAAGGACAATCCCCTAATTTAAAGAGTCCTCTATTTCAGGGGCAAGCCCAATCTGGTTTAAAGATTCAGAACTAGAGAAAGCCCATCAGCAGTTGCTCACCTGGTCAGAAACTCCCCATGTGTAGTATCCCTGTGTGAAGAATATTTTATTTAAATAGTACCAAGTCTTTCTTAGTTTGCATATGAATGAACCCATGCAAAATTGTAGGGAAATCTATGCTCTCTTTTGTTTTCTTTTTTTAGGCACAAAAATGGTGCATCCCCCCCCCCTTTTTTTAGGAAGTGGAAATGACTACTTTATTCCTATCTTTGGACAAAATATTATCATTGGTGTGCCATCCAGCACTCTGGATAGCTTAAAAAGGTTACAGGCATATGCTTCTAAGAGCGAGGGAAAGCTTGCAGCTTCCCTGGTGATTGCTCATATCAAGCAGCTTGTGAGAGATGGTCTGACAGATTGCCAGCCCCATGCTGTGGTCCTGTCATGTAAGTATGTATGACAATAGAGATGGTTAAAAATGGGAAAACAGAAATGCGAAAGAAAATGGTTTTACAAGCTGCTAAGAATTGTAAAAAAAAAGAGGAGGTGTTTGCTGCAAATGGAAAGTTTTATGAACGATCATATTCTCCCCAGTGGAAGCTTTATATAATATATAGGAGAAAAATGCAGTTGACTCCATCTTGATCCCAAGCCTGAAGAAGACATGCAAGAAGTACTAAGAAACCTTTGTAGGCCAGTTGGGAAAAGTGAGGTTGATTCATCCATTCATAGTGCTGTTTATGGATGGGAGATCCTGACATTTGTTGTAGTTAACTGCCTTCGCATCAATCTCGACCCATGGTGACCCTATGGATGAAACATCTGCAGGCCCCCCTGTCCTCTACTGCTTTGCCCAGCTCCTTCAAACTCATATTCGTGGTCTCTTTAATAAACTCCATCCATCTAGCATGTGACCTTCCTCTCTTTCTACTTCCCTCCACCTTTCCTAACATTATTGTCTTTTCCAATAATTCATGCCTTCTCATGATATGTCCAAAGTATGACAGTCTAAGTCTTGTTATCTTGTCTTCTAAGGATATTTGTGGCTTGATCTGCTCTAGGACCCATTTGTTTGTCCTTTTGGCTGTGCATGGGATCCTCAGCACTCTCTCCAGCACCACATCTCAAATGAGTTGATTTTCCTCCTATCTTCTTTCTTGACTGTCCAGCTCTCACATCTATACATGGTAATAGGGAATACAATGGCTTGTAAGATTCTGACTTTTGTACTGAGTTATATGTCTTTGCATTTTAGGATCTTTTCTAGTTCTTTCATAGCTTTTCACTTTTCATAGAGTGATAGGATGCAGGCTTGTCTGGCTCCTTTGCCAGCTGGAAACCATTCCATTTGTCCGTGTTCTGTCCTGACAGTAACCTCTTGTCATGAGTACACATTCCTCATCAGGACTATCAGATGTGTTGGCACTCCCATGTCTTTAAGGGTGTTCCATAGCCTTTCATGTTCTATGAAGTCAAAGGCTTTGCTGTAGTTTGTAAAGCACATGCTGATTTTCTTTTGGAACTCTCTGCTTTGCTCCATTAGCCATCGTATAATTGCAATATGATGCCTAGTGCCTCTTCCTTTCCTGAACCCTGCTTGGACCTCTGGGATTTCTCTTTTTATCTATGGTTGGAGTCTAGAATAGAATAGAATCTTTATTTTGGTCATAGACCAGCACATAAGTCTCACTAGAGATGTATCTGTACTACCCCATTATGTCAGCTTCATACTACTTAATTGGCATGAGTCCATGCTAAAATATCCTGGGATTTGTAATTTAGTGAGCCAGTGTGGCATAGTGGTTGAGGATTAGACTATGACTCTGGAGATCAGGGTTTAATTCCCTGCTCAGCCATGGAAATTGCCTGGGTAACCCTGGGTGAGCTACACTCTCTCAGCCCCAGAAAACCCTATGATTCTTTGCCATAAACTGAAAATGACTTGAAGACACACAACAACAAAGTATTAAGAGGTAACAAGGTATCCTGAAAAGAAAGAGACTAAAGATTAAATCACTTGAATTCTGTAGTGTAGACAGACACATGATGCCTTGGGAACTGGGGAGTAAATTAGAGTTCTCTAGCAAAGAATGGTAAGTACCTCACCAAACTAGAAATTCCAAGATTATTTAGATGCCATCTTGACAGTTAAAATGGTATTAAACTGACATAACTATGTAAAGTAGATATAACTTGAGGAGCTTGTTCTGCTTCAATTTTCATTCTTACCCTGAAAGTGAAAAATAGGAGGGGGTGCTCAAGTCTCATCTCAAGAGAAAGTATAAGAGGGCCATTTGGGGTAGAGGAGCTTGACATGTACTGTCTCTCTGCCTCACATATTGTGTGCTATGGATTTCATTAATAGTACTCCAACACCTTGGTTAAGAATCTATTTTGTTCTGGAAGAAATAGACTGGAGAGCTGCAATGAATACCATCACGAAGGTTCTGGAAGACTTCTTAAGATAAAAGACCCACAGAGAGTATGTGATTCATTCACTGATTAAATGACAGGTGGTCAACTGTGGTTTTCCAGATATCTCTGCAGTTCCCCTGATCCCTTGCCATTTGCTAAACTGGCTAGGTCTGATGGGAGCTACTGTCCAGCAATATCTGGAGGGCCACTTTTGTCCATCCCTTGATTTAAATGAAAGGGAGTTATTCCCTGTCACTATAGAAGCATATACATGCATGCCTCATTGCCATTCTGTTTGAAGACATTCTCTATAGCCATTCTCTTTGAAGACATCCTCAGAGTCTATTCGAAGGTCTGTCCAAATCAAGTCTGATTTAAACATAAAGAACCAGAAGAAAGAAGAACAGCAGATGCCTTGAAGTTGAACTTGGCAGCACATTGAGCTGCAGGTACATACATTATCTGGTCATAGTCTGCCCCACAACAAGGGAAATGTAATGGATTTCTATTTACATTATTATGACTATTACCTCTCAGTTATTGTAATTATTTTTTCCAAAGTATATCTAAATAATATTTGAAATTGTTTCTACATAATAATTATTATTTCTAAATATGTGTCTATACTTACATATTACCATATGCAAATATGCATATATAGGTACTCTCCGTTATTTGTTTATTTTTGGCAATAAGGTCACCTTTTTTGATGTTGTATAAGTGGCAAGCCTCTTGTTGTTTTCATATACATACATGCAAATACATGCACACATGTGATAGAGGATAGCTAAGGGTAGACTATGTGTTTAGCATGCAAAAGACCTCAGGTTCAACTGCTGGAAAGTCCAAGAGGTTGTTTACAAAAAGTTCCAGTTGGACAGGATAAGAACAACTTCTAACTGGGATCTAGAAAACTGCTTCCAGCCAGAGTAGAAAATACAGAGGCAGATGAGCAGCAGTCTGAACAAAGATAAGATGTATGAAAAGGGATCTTGCAGCACCTTTGAGACTAACTGTAGCATTAGTTTGGTAGACTAGGTCTACTTCCTCAGATGCATGAAGTAAGCCGATGCCCAGAAAGGACCTTTATAGATTGTATGACTACCCATGGCAATGCAAAACTTCTAGGTAGGATGATGAAGTGACACGTTTTAACAATGTTTGCTGAGGGACAAAGGAAAGAGTAAAGAAGTTGTCCAAGGCCGGGTGTGTGTGTGGATGACCATATGAATGGAGGAGGGTATTTTGGAATGTGATGTGTGCAGGCTGGGAACCGAAAGAAGATGGTATAAACTAGCTGAGAGTGTCCAGTGTTAAAATGCCCGAAAGCCATCATCTTTGTTCAACCCACTGTTGATGGATTGGAATTTGTAAATATATCCTAATTCAGCTGTTTCTCTTTCTAAACTTCCTTTGCAGTTTTGTTGTTGTTGAAGGACCACTGTCTTAAGATCAGAGATGGATTGCTCAGTAAGAATAAAGTGTTCTTATTTATTTATTGTATATTCCCATTCCTAATATCTGATTTATGTTCATTTATCCTCTAACTCAGAGACTGGCCTGTTTGCTTAATGTAGAGTGCTGAAGGACATTATTCACTTAGTATGGCATATATCACATTAGAAATTGAGCAAGTGAAAGTGCCTCTAATATTGTGGATTATGTGATTGGGTCCTGTGATTACATTTTCCAAGTAGATGTATGAGCAAAGTTGACATCGGGGGTTGTGGCAAGGTCTTGTAATCATCTCCCATCTGTTTTGTGTGTCTTTCCATAAATCAGGGGTCGGCAACCTTTTTAGGGAGGGGGGAGGTCCCCTGTCCCCCGATGCCCCCCGGGCTGCGGCGGTGTGCGCGCATGCTCCCCGGGCAGCGGTGGTGCACGCATGTGCGCACGCGCGCACGCGCGCATTCTCACACTACCAGGAGGGCTCCCTGGACCACGGCGGGCCTCCAAGAGGCCCAGCGCGGCTGCGCCCCCCCCAAGGAGGGCTCCCTCGACCGCGCCAGGCCTCCGAGAGGCCCTGCACGGCCGCGCCCCCCCTGGAGGGCTCCCTTGACTGCACCAGTGTCTGAGAGGCCCAGCGCGGCTGCGAGGGCCCCCCAAGAGGGCTCCCTCGACCGTGCCGGGCCTCTGAGAGGCCCAGCTCAGCCACAGGGGTCCTCCGGGGTGCCATTTTGGATTCCAAAATGGCTCCCAGAATCTCGCACGATATTCTAGGATTTGGAATCCAAAATGGCGCCCTGGAGGACAGCAGTGGCAGTGGCGGCAGCAGCAGCGGCAGTAACAGGACCGGGCAGGAGCCAGTCTAAAGGCCTCCGTGGGCCGCACCCGGCCCACGGGCCTTAGGTTGCCGACCCCTGCCATAAATAATTGTTTGAGATTGGGAGGATGTCTGTATGTTAGTAAAGGCCTGCCACCAAGAGTCTTTGGGCCGATGGAGACTGGCATTTTAGGCCAGACTGGGGGTGGAGTTGGGGTGGGGCGACTGCATGATGGCTGCCCTGACTCTGCCCCAACACTTCATGCCCATCTGCATGGCACGTGGGCGTCCTCTTGGCACAGCATGCACACACGCTGCACCAAAAGGGCACAAAAGAGCCATGGCAGTGGCTCAAAGGGCGACTTTTTGCTGCCCCCAAAAGGAACTGCAAAAAGGAGGATCAGGGCCACAGCCTTTCGGGCTGACTCCATCGACCCTTTGAGAAGGCAGTGTTATTGTTCAAAATAGGTTGTATTCAGTGATGATACATCTGAATGGTCTCAGTTGGGAGCAATATGTAACCACTAGTGTTTTTCTGTAATTTCCTGCCTCCAGTCTGTTTTGCAATAGATTAGTCCTAAGTCTCTATGTCTCTGAATTCTGGGATAAGAAGGTTTCATATGTTTATATATACTACCAGTGAAATCAAATTGTTATAAATTTGGAAAGAATGAGAGGTCTATAGGCAAAGTGAAACAACTGGGCTGCTCACTTCTGCTCCAGTTTTCCTTGATCTATGACCATGGACAGTTATAAACTACAACTCTTTGAGGATATTATCTTAATTCTTGTGTCCAGTGCCTGACATACAGTTTTGTAAGTTGGAGGAAGAGGCTGTGCTAAATGTTTGTGTCTCCCAAGTGCACAGATTAGGGTCAAGAGACTGGAAACAATGCATCATTGTTAATAAAGTTAATTTTAATCTCTTTGTATTAACCCCCCTTAAGTGAGAATGGACTCCCCCCACCCCCCAAAATAGTATAATTTTTCAGGGAATTTCCCCAGGGAATGATGGGAGGAGTAGCATTTTCATTTATCACATTGTTTCTCCCACCTTCCCCCACTTTGCTGCCTACACTGACCTCTAATCTCTGTGGCAGGCAGTGGTTGCACTCACACAAAGAGCAGGGAGGAGGATCATGAAGACTGCTTTCACAATGTGCTGCTTTGTGGGGCACTGTACTCAAGTGGGGAGGAAGCTGCAGAATACATGTGATGGGAGAAGGGATGAAAAGGCAACGACAGAGAAGAGGGAGTAGACATGGCCAGAGGGAATATTACATGAGAGGTGGGAGGAAGAGTGGAGGAAAAGAAAGAGAGATGCCCAAAGAAAAAGGGAAAGAAGAAAAACAAGCTACAGTAATGGTCTCAGAGGAGAGCAGTTGTCTATGGCATGCAGAATAGGACAATGGGGAAAAGGAGGAACTGGAGATGGATAGTGATGACTAGGTGGATGTTGCTGACAGTCTGGAAGAAAAACAAGAATTTCAAAGAGATGAGAGAAAAGAATAAGATAGAGGCCAAGAAACTGGGGAGAAAAGGGAAGGATGGTTGCAAGGTGTTCTGAGCAAAAAATATTGTTTTTGTTATGTACCGTCAAGTTATTTTGGACTTATGGGTGTTATGGGTGAACATACCTTGGGGTTTTCTTGGCAGAATTTGTTCAGAAGGGGTTTGCCTCTGTCCTCTTCTGAGGCTGAAAAAGTATCACTTTCTGAGAGGTGATTCAAACTCTGGTCTCCAGAATCAGAGTCAAACACTCAAATTGCTACACCATGCTACCCCTCCCATTCAAAATACAACAGGATTCATAAAATCAAGGATTATTCTGAATGCAGTATAATTTTCAACATTTCACCAATTGTATCTTTGACCAGAAATAGAGACTATTTTTGTTATTTTTTCAATGGCTGCAGACATTTATTTATGTATTTATTATGCCCAACTTGTTTTTTTTTTAAGGAAGAAATTTAATTTTTTTCTAAGGAATAAAACAGATTTCACAATTATTAAATTAAGGGCCTTTGCAAACTGCCAGAAATAGTGCAAATTGAGTCCACTTTAAGGGTTAGGATTAGTGCTAGGGAATCATGGGAATTGTTCCCCCCCCCCCCCAAAGACATTGAGCTTTCTCTGCAGAGAGCTCTGGTACCACAATAAAATACAGTTCCCATGATT